TCAATCAGTCAATAAAGGGGGAGGAGAATATATATAAACTTGTTATGAAGTGCTATCTATTGAGAGTTTCCCTACCTTTGCCTCTGGCTAATCTTTGGGTATTTATAGATGGTATGAACCGTGGGATGTGGAACACGTGTATACATCTGACGGTATGAAGCGTCTGCTCATAGGCGTCAATCAGCCGCGCTTGTAGAGTGGGCGGACAGTTTGTTTCCCCCTAGTTGAATTGACATAAAGTTGATAAGTCACATCAAATAGCTTTATGGGGGACGTCACATCAATTTAAACCTTATATGCAGAGCAAATCTTAAATTGGCAGCGAATCTTCTAACGGGGGTTCAAGCCACTTGAACCCGACCTCGGAGACGGGACACTTCGGAAGATCAGTGGCAGGAATCGATGTATCACTTCTGAGAGGCTTCGAGGGGGTCGGAGTGGTTCCGAGGCTCATAAAAAGGAAATCTGTTGACCTCCAAAAATGGCTCCAACAGGCACCCTCGCTTCGTCCCCTCGAAACCTTAACTTGTGAATTGAATTCATATTATAGAGAAATGATGTGAAATGGGCTAAGGCGGGTTAATGGGCCTAAGTTCGAGCCCAGTACGAGGTGAGCAAAGTGATAGGCACTTCGGCTAGGCGCACAACACTAATGGCCCTAGCTCGGGTCCAATAAGGTGGCCCAATATGGAGTGATAATTCATAGGCGTAACACATATATTTACTTGTCCAAAACGATGCTTAAGTGAATGAAAACGAGTCTGCCAAGTATCAATGACATGGAACATGATTCGAGCACATGAAACTTAGTTTCAGATATTGATTATATGATTTATTGTATGTTTATATTACTGTGGGCCAGTCTCGATCTCCTTCTGAATTACACTTCACTTATACTTGTTAGCAATAAAACCCACCACCAAAAAAAAAAATTTCTCATTAAAATTTGTCGTTTTTATATGAAAATCTTGTAGTGTTCATTCACTATGGTCCAATTATTTTTTTTCTATATTATGGGACCATTGTCCTCATTTCTCAGCCTCTTTTTCCTGGAAATTTTGCTTTGTTCATATGTTGGGAAAATCATCTCTAGAAGATAATGACAACTGTAGCAAAGTCTTGATTATTACATCCTGAATCCAACTCATGAAGACAGAGAAATATGAAGTGACCATGCTTTGAAACAACATGTTTAGCCATTGTTTGGACCCATTATTCTCAAAAATCAATTTTTTGAAACTCATTTTCAACCACATATTCTTTAATAAAATAATATTACATGCAAACTCAATAAAATTTCTTAATTTTTAACAACACGTTCTCCATCAATCACTATTTAAAAATGCATCATTTCCCTTAAAATAGGTTTCAAACAAAGCCTTTATATACAATATTGAATAAAATTATACAATAATGAAATTTATTTCAAAAGACGAAAGACATAATTTCATAGCAATAGATAACATTTTAGCTCTTTTCAATATATTGTATATATTCCGTACAATATATTATTAAACAAGTTCCGAATGCTCAATCGAGCCTAACCCTTTTAAGCAGCCTATTGAGACTTTTGTATGCAAGTTGAAGGACTCTTTTATCCATTTGCTACAAGTGGAAATGACTAGTCGATTTTGACAAAATATAGAAGTTTGAATATTCATAACACCATGTATGAAAATTTCATATCATAAAAGATTCTAGTATAGTAAAAGAATAATTCAACATTAAGGAGTTGTTTGACAAAACTTTTGATAAAAAAATGTCCATAAAAGTTTTCGCCGTTGCATTTAAGTGCATATTGAGTTTGGTATCACATTCAAAGAATTTCCAAGAGACTTTCTATTTATAAAGAGTATCTTATGTATAATAGAAGTCATATTTAAATTGAGAGTAATTTATTTTATACACTTTAACAATGATCTCTATTTTGATTCTTCATTTTTTTCCCCAAGAATTATTATTGATTTCTCTCCCTCCTTTATTTAACATATTTTTTCATATGTTAATAGTCAATCAATTCAAATAAGATTTGAATAATTTAAAAAATAGAGTATTGAAATCTATAGCTTATTAAAAAAGTTAGAATATAGAGGGTTTGAAATTTATTTTTAAGCATTGAGTCTGATATAGAGCATCCAGTGTTAAAAAATATTTTGAAGATGCTCTAATCTATTTAACTACAAAGACTTAAATATTTTCAGATTTCGATTAAAAAGCAAACTCTTGTTTGAGCTCATTATTTAAGAATATATTTTGTATAAACTGATTTTTTAGAGAACGTGTAGTTAAAAATTAGGAAAAAATTTTGGATTTATTTATAAAATTATTTTATTAGAAGAATATGTGGTTGGAAATAAGTTTTAAAAAAATGAATTTTAAAGAATGGAATGAACTCAAATATATGACAAATATATATGTCAAGCTTACAATTTGTCAATTCCCATGATTTGGACATCCCTGTCTTCGAATTAACTTTCAAATATTTGACCCTTCTAAAACTATTTATAGTCAATTTTTCACAATTAAGGTTTGAATTCATTTATATTTAATTATTAGATTCATGTAATTCATATTCACACTTGTGGTCATAAATTTCTAATGTTGAAATGCTTTATCATCCTCAGAAAAGTAGACATCGAAATGATTGCAACAAGTTAAACTTGCATTGGACGAATGTTCAATCTGAACGCCAATCGATAAATCCAATGAGTATAGTGTCACATTATCCATTCATAGGAAATTCAATATTAATATAGACCACATAATATCGTCAAAAGATTATTGGACAGATTATTTTGTCACTAATAAAGTGACCTAATAGGATTGATATAAACTCTTAGCTAGCGTGATTACATATGTCATCACTATATCGCAATATCCTAACTAAAGTTCTATATTGTGCTTACAACAAACTTGCTAGGTGTGTGTAGATGCGGGAATTTTTATGAAAGCCCCTTATTTGCTTCTCTTTGATGGAAATTTGATTTTCCCAAAATGTATCCTAATTTTTGCCATAATTCTTCTTCTGATGATTGATTTAACCTCTGATAAAAAAGATATACGTGGATTATATTTCATCTCTTCAACAAGTTTAGTAACGAGCATAATGGCCTTATTGTTCTGATGGAGAGAAGAACCTATGAAGTCTTTCGGGAAATTTCCAAACGAACAATTTCAACGAAATTTTTTGAGGTACATATCATAAACATTGTGCATGAAAGTTATCATCATGTAAAACTTGGACCAACTTATCTTGCACTTCCCACTCAATAAATCAATAATGAAATTTCAAAATAACTCCAATCCTCATAGAAGCAATCCTCCATATTTTTTATACATCAAAACTCATAAAGGGCCAAAGACTTCCAAGACAAACTTTTTGCTTGCTAGACTTGAGAAACAATGTATAGAAATATAACATACATAGCGGGTTCACCTATACTCATCTCTCTCAAATGTGATACGATCTTCTTTTAAATACTTCATTGCAAAACGGCATGATCTCTTTTCTTTACAATTTCACATCCCGAAGACAAAGCAGTTGGAATAGCAAGGGAGAAACAATGCACTTTCTTCCACAGGTAGAGGCTGCCTGAATGGATTTAGCTGAATCTGTACAAGAGACAGATATATTTCAAATTTATATATTCATGTTAAAAGACTTTTGACTACTCAGCGTAAAGAAAAAAAGGAACACACTGGAATTGTAGGAGCACAGCCTGTTGCAGAACTTATGCAACAAGTTGCCAGATGAGAAGCTTCTTCACAGTAATCAGAAAAAATTGCCGGAACTTTGATCTCCTTTATTAGCTCCTTCGGTGAAAAATAGAATGGAAAGAACAATAATGGTTAGTTTTTGTAACATTATCCAAAAGTAGAAGCTAATGTTAAGCTAAAAGTTGCCCTTCACACGACAAAAGGAGAAAAGGAGAAAAAGAGAAACACTGGACTGTGTGGAGCCTAATTTGGTAAAGGATTTTTCAAGAGTTGTTTTTTACTGTGCAAGTGACGTGTGAAGAAAACGTGTATTCTTCTTCTCCATTGTAGTGAAAATGCAGCGGTGGGTGCACGTAATTCTCACGTTCAAGATGAACCAGTGTGTGCTTCACTTGTTTTCTGATTGCCTTTTGGATTATTGCTCTTGAAAGTAAAGATTAGGGTGTAATACATAACCAAAGAGATTGAGAGAGAGAAAGAGAGAGAGAGTAAGGATAGTCAACTTACAATTGTTGGAAGCCAGCTTGTGTAGGCAGCAATACCGGCATTTGGAGCTATAATTAGATGGGGTGGAAAATCCTGCAAATGAAATATACCTCATGAGAAGTACTACATCAAAACTATGAGCTATATGCATCTAGATGATGGAAACAACCTTTGCTATATCTCTGTAACGATCATGATAAAAACCTGCATGAAACCGTAATATGACTGCAGAAGAGTCACCCTCGTATACATGTTGGCTAAGATTCTCAACTGAATATTTGCACTGACAATCTATTTGATTACATTTAGCATAACTGTAAACATAGATTTTCTCATCATCCCTGGTCATGTGAAATAACTCTTATAAGTTATATGTAACCGATAAAACTATCAAAAAGAAATTGCCAACAGAAACTGACAAGGAATTATCAAGAAAATAAGGTTTTTTAGATGTTTTATTTGATTTTCCAAATCCTGGAGAGCTTTTGCAATTTTAATTATTCATAAAGTAAAAGCTGAGATGAGTGCTGCCAATCTTCATATATAACGTTTTCTCTTATATTCACTTTTCATTTAAACATTTTTTCACCAAAAGCAGAAGGGTGAAAAAGAAAGTAAAAAAATCATCCCAAACACCAACTTTAACGTTCCAAATTCAGAGTGTATTAAAGTTTGAAAATAACGTACCAAATTAAACTAGCCAGTGATTTAAGGTAACAATGGTTGAGATATACAAAAATATGAAAAGAAATGGTGCCTGAAATTAGTGAACTGCAATTTCCAAGATAATATATAAATAAACGAATAGAAGATCAAAGTGTCTTCTAAGGATTCTGTTTGGCTAAAATATCAAATAAGTAAACTGATAAATTGAAATCTGCTTGGTTGGGAAAAAAATTTATAATTTGCTGAAATTATAAACTTGAAAGAAATTAGCAATAGATAAGTAGCAGTTGTAGGTCCAATATGAGGAGATTATAATGTAAAACAAACAAGCACGAAAGCAAATAGCAAATAAGCATCTACATTGGAACTGACCTATGCTGTGGAACTGCAGGTCCAACAAGGTCTATTAGCAGTCGAATTCCAGGAAAAAGTGCAAGCAATTCTCCAAAGACAGAAAGTTGAAGAAGCTCTTTCTCTGGGCCTTCAACAAGAACTTGTTTTTGTTCAGAAGGAAATTGGATAAAAAAGGGCAGAAAGGGCATTTAACTAGGGATGAGATTGGGGGGGGGGGGGGGGGGGGGAGTCTA